TGAATAAAAGTGGGCCTAAGATGGATCCTTGTGGTACACCTGTATTTATATCATCCCAATCAGAATAAACTTTCATATTGTCTCTAGAGATGATCACCCTTTGTTGTCTATGGAAAAGATAATTAGGGAACCCTTTGAGAGGCGTGCCTCTTATGCCATAATGCCCAAGTTTGAGGAGCAGTATTTCAAAACTCACACTATCGAAAGCCTTCTTGAAGTCACAGGCTAACCCGATTTGCAACTAGGGAAAAAGCCAAATACTCAAAGTGGAATGCAATGGTCACAAAGAGAGAGAAACTCAAAGTCATTACCACATACTAGTTCATGAAATGAACGACAATGGTAGATAACGAGAGAAAAACAACTACTTTCCTGGCTATATGCCACGCAGAACATTGCATTACATCCTCCCGAAATCTATGCGATAGTTCGTAGAAACGAATAAAATCGCAAGTGTTTCCTTCCTGAACGCAGAGCTGCGCTTAAGTGGTTCAGGAACGCTGACTACCTGCAGACCGGTTTCGAGCTCTTGGCTCTCATCAGTACAGGGCTGTCCCAGATAGCTTCTTGCCCGCTATCTGGTGCGAACCTGACCCAACGTAAACGCATCTCAGCATTTATACCAATCGAGGCGTTCGAAGTCTGCGAAATGAAAACGCTAACGCCGAACGCCACCTCGCAAGGAAAGAAACACTCCAAAACAAAATCCCATCTCAGGTGAAATGGAAGTGGCTGGTTTCCCGACTGGCGTATTTTCAACTAGGGAAAAAGCCAAATACTCAAAGTGGAATCCAATGGTCACAAAGAGAGGGAAACTCAAAGTCATTACCACATACTAGTTCATAAAATGAACGACAACGGTAGATAACGAGAGAAAAACAACTACTTTCCTGGCTATATGCCACGCAGAACATTGCATTACATCCTCCCGAAATCTATGCGATAGTTCGTATAAACGAATAAAATCGCAAGTGTTTCCTTCCTAAACGCTGAGCTGCGCTTAAGTGGTTCAGGAACGCTGACTACCTGCAGACCGGTTTCGAGCTCTTGGCTTTATTCGTTTATACGAACTATCGCATAGATTTCGGGAGGATGTAATGCAATGTTCTGCGTGACATATAGCCAGGAATGTAGTTGTTTGTCTCTTGTTATCTACCATTGTCGTTTATTTTATGAACTAGTATGTGGTAATGAGTTTGAGTTTCTCTCTCTTTGTAACCCGATTTGGTTGATCCTCGTGTCTTATTTATAATGAATTGCTTGAGTAATATCGTACATTGCTGAAGAAGTTGATTTTTTGTTCAGAAATCCATGTTGATTGGGAGTTATGATTTCATAGGCGTCCAAGAATGATAGGAGTCTTTCATGTACTAGTTTTTCTAAAAGTTTTGCTACAGTAGGCAACAGCGAAATGGGCCTGTAGTTGTTGAAATCTTTCTTATCGCCTTTTTTGTACAGAGGAATCACATTTGACTTTTTTGAACAAGGTGGAAAGACTCCTTGAACAAGAGATTCATTGAAAAGTTTGACTATATGAGGTAAAATAATGTGAATACTGTATTTTAGTAGTTTAGAAGAAATATCATCATAGCCGCAAGAGTTTTTGTGTTTCATGTTATTGAGAGTTTCGAGAATTTCTGTTCCATCAGTGGGATACATGAGAAAAGATATAGAATTGGGTGCACAGTAACTATTTAGAAATTTATTAATTTGACTTTCATTATTAATTGAATTAGAGGAAACGACATTGAGAAAAAAATCGTTCAGTTCAGTGCATGATTCACTAGAATGATCACATGAAATAGATGTATCATTGTGGGTGGAACTTGAGCCCAATTCCGAATTAACAAGTTGCCAAATTCGTTTGATTTTGTTGTCACTTGACCTAATTTCTCTGTCGAAATAAGAAGTTTTAGCTGCTAGTATAAGCATTTTCAGAATTTGACAATATGTTTTGATATGTTTTTCCAGCACTGCATTGTGATAATTCCTAGTCAAGGTTATGAGTTGCTTTTTGTGCTTACATGAGTTTCGGAGACCTCTTGTCATCCAACATTTTCTCTGATTCGTTTTGACTTTTTTCAACGGGAAAGATTTCTCAAAACATTCCACCTGAATATTCTGAAACATTTCGAACTTCTCCTCCAAGTACCTACTGAAAAGGAATTGCACAGTACCTTTTTTCGGATAACATCACTTTCAAATTATTCTTAAATACGTTGATGTTTCTGTCTGAATAGAAGCGTTTCATCGTAAATTCAGTTTTTCTGTTATCGTGACCAATTTTGAATTGTATATATTGTGAAAAGTGATCAGCAAAGCCATTGTCCACATTTTTTGTCTCATATTCCTCAAACTTAACAAATATATTATCTAAGCAAATTGCTGTTGTTATTCAAACTCTAGTATAATCAAAAATTGTTTGATGCATGTTCAATGAGCGCAAAACATTCAGCAGATCATTTTTATTATCAGAATCCGACATAAAGTTCACATTAAGGTCTCTACATAGTATGACAGAGATATTTTTGACGCTAAAAATATCGACTAGTAAAGCCTCTAAGTTATTCAGAAATACAATGAAATCCACAGATGGAGAACGATATAAATTTATGATGCATATTTTATTCATTTTTATCACGCTAAATTCGAAAATTTGTTCAATAGCTAAATGCTTATATTTATCCAACAAAAAAATAGAAACCTTGATAAGATGTTCTCTTACGAAGATGGCAGAGCCACCATTTTTATGAATAGAACGACTGAAATAAGATATCAATTTAAAATCTTTGGGGACACAGTATTCCATATTTTCACTTTTCATCCAATGTTCAGACACACAGAAAAAATCAACATTTTTCCCCTCATTTGCAAAGAATATATTCAGCTCAGCGATTTTATTACTCAGACACTGAATATTTTGATGCATTAGTACTTTGGGTATTACGAAAGTTATAACGTTTACTCTCTAAAGAATTCGATAGTGGGGAATATGTTTTCCTTTTAGTTGATGACCTTGATTATTCATTTCCTCCTAGAATTGACCTGTGCGTGCTCCCCATCTCCCCTCGTGGAACATTCTGGTAGCTCGAGACTGCATTTTCATCATTTGGTTGGTGTACTTTATTCATGGTATGCAAAGATACGTGAAAGTTATCTTCCTTCAAGTCGTTCATTGACCAGAACTTATTGTTTATTAAAAATCCATTTCTTTTGACCATCACTGTACATCCATTTTGTTGGACGCGAATTTTGCGGTGGAACAAGAATTTTCTATCAGCTCTTTCTTGAGAAGACCTTTCGGAATCAATAATGATCTTTGTACCTTTCAGTTTGCTCGACGCTCTCAGTATTATGTTGTTTGATTTTAAAACTAGATAATTTCACTATCATGGGCCGACAGCGATTACTATCTTTTTTTCCAATACGATAAGAATCGTCAATGCTACCCCATATATAATTGGGCGATAGTTATTATAAATTATCTTAATAATGATATATGACAGATAGATATAATTGAATATTCTATGGCATCAGCACGGGACATTATTGTTTTCTGTTTGATATTCATGCAATGATTTCATTTTTTAAACGAAAATATTGGGAATATTCCAATTAGAGGTTCATCATAGTCACAGATTAATTTTGTTTTTCCACTTGTCACGATGGTTATTGGTCATGGATGTTTCAGAAAAGACAAGTGTCAAACAAATCTTTGAGAAAACATAAGCATTATTGAAAAATTGTTGTTCGAGAACAACGGCCTATTCTCAAAAAAAAGAATACTTTATATACCATGAGAAATGTTGCTGCAATACGGATATAACGAGAATTCTGAATCCCTTTGTATTACTTATATTGTTCCTTTTGTGTGGTTTGGTGTAATGAAATACGTTCGTTTTTTTGACAATTTATTGGTTGTTTGTTAAAAAAATAAATTTTCTCAATAGACAAAATTGAATAATAAATTATTGCTTGCTTCGTTTTCAGCTTAACTCTTTCTTATTTCAAAAAAACTGATACCTATAACCATCACAAAAATACATCTCCTGGTATCGAGGATATCCTAATCGAGTATGTACAACTATAATAAATACTTAAGAATACAAATCTCACAATAATATCTATCTACAAATTCCACTTTTTATTGACTGATCAGTATAATGGAATGGATGCCTCAAAAATTGAGATTCTCAATCATTTTCAAATGAGTGTACAATTTTGAGTGTTTCTATCGAATGAAGATACTTCTGTATTCGATGGAGTGTACTTTATTTATTGGAAACTCTGTTAGCAAACCGAATGAAACTATAACAATGAATAATGGGGTTGGCAACTTCAATAATTTATATTTGTCTGATTCTATATCACAAAATCATCATGTTCATTGATAATCATTCATGGATGATAGGTACTCTTCAATCCTGAAGAAAACAATGAATTCAAAACGCAATGAACGTGGTGAGCTTGGTCAAGGAAATGATGAGTTGGTGTGTTGGTCTCTCGAATCGTGATACTATGTTCACATGTCGAAATCATTCTTAATGTAGAATAGAAGAATGAAAAAGTTGACTCAAAAATTATAACAAAATCTATCAAAGCGAGTTGACCAAATATTATCTAACATTAACTGACACTGACACAGATATCATCATGTGATAACAATGCGATCAGGAATGACAGGATCATTCACTCAACACATCAAATCGAACTGGTTGAGCTAGTGGTTTGGATACCATGACCGTCACTGTTATACAATTGACTCAACACGACCCAAGTAACTACACATCATTCGCAATATCTAGATTGGTGTACCACATGGTATTATCTTCCATCTAGAAAATACTGTTAATTTCCTTCAAGAATTCATGACAAAATAATACAATCATTGTTTTCAGTTGATTTTTTGTAATATCGAATGAGAAATCTTGATGGGGTATCCTGGACTAGCAGATGAAATTATCTCAAAAATAATCCCGAAAAGTAAATTGAGAACAAATTCAAGATCCTATCGCTCTCGTGATCCAATCCACTGTATGCGCAACCCTGTGGTATATCCCAGGTTGTCCTTGCTGCGCACAAGAGTATCCTGCCGAAACTATTCCAATGAGGAACCATCTGCCAGTCCTCTGCAGCATCAGAGGTCCTCCAGAGTCGCCTTGGCAGCTGTCTCTGCCTCCATTCTTATATCCCGCGCACATCATCTCATCGTAGATGGTCACGGATATTCCCTTCGATCTGAAAGTCAACAGAGTTATGAATATACAACTGATGGTCGTCATTTCATTCAGATTTTCAACGTGTGTCAGTGTTGTATTTGTTACTCTGAGCTGATTCTTAAATCTACATCTTTTGAAACAAAAACCTGTTATGGTTCATCACCGTTCGTTTGACATGAAAAACTCTCCTTATGTGAGTAGAAATATTACTTTTATGTCCATGTAACCCTTCATAGTGTTAGTCAGTTGTTGTTGTTGTTCAGAAGTGGTTTTCAAAGAAAAGTGATAATAAGAACCAAGAAGGAGAAATTGTTCTATATACAGGGTGAATCATAACTAATATTATGCCCCATTATTTTTTGTTCTTGCTAATAATCTCACTGTATATTCATCAGACAGGCTTGCTTTCATACTGGAAATAATATTTTTCGTACTTCCGGGCCTAAAGTGACAACTTCACTCCCTTGTGACAGGTACTAAAGTGTCACATTTAATCCCTCCGGGATTAAATATTGACGAAACTCCCGGAACGATTAAATCACAAACAAACGAATTTAAGGGATATTTTATTGAAAAATATAATTAATTAGAATGGTAATTAACGTTAATATTCAAATTAATATTGTGACAGTTCGTCATATTGACCAGTCTTTCCTGGGTTAATGCAGCAGGTAACTGACGAGTAACAGATAGGTCCTTTTCATATTGAACTGGTGTTTGTTTCGAAGATCCTGCGGAAACAGGAAGCGAGAATGAGGACTGTGGCATAACTATAGTGGACGAATCGGCGACTTGACCAAATATTTTATCTGAAATTTTTTGTTTATTTTTAATAGACGATTCAATATATCCCTCGGCCACGTTGGAGGATTTCCATCCTCCATGTCTCTTCAGCACGTCTATTGTTGCTCCCGAATCAGCTAACAAAGACGCAGATGTGCGTCTAAAACAATGTCCCGTATAAGACGTCGCATTTTCTAATTTCAAGAAAGCTGCTATTTGCCGTGGAAATGTACCAAACATGTTTTTTCCTACTACTCGCGTAGTACATTCTTTGTTGATGTATTGAACAAAAAATTTTGAATGAGTTGTCCCTGTCTTTCGCAATGCCACATATTTCCGAAATATCGCCACAAAACTGATGGCACTGTTTTCTGAATTTTTGATCACAAAATTTCGGTCAATTTTATTTTTGGTGTTTCTAATCGCAATTAGGAAGGAATCGCCCAAATCTCTCACATCGTCGATTTCTAAATCAACCAACTCTTTTCCACGACAAGCTCCCGCAACGCCCAAAATAAGTGCAACCTACAAAAAAATTGATTTCTTAAAATTTCTGAATATAAACAAATTTCCAAATTTACCTTAAGCATTAAATATTTATCATCCGGAGCCTCCCGTAAGAACTGATCTACCTGCTCAGACGTGAGAATTCTTGACTTCTTTGGCTTAAATCCCTCATTTCTTCTCTTCAAAAAAGCTAATAATTTTGGAAATTTACTTATATCAATATCTTCTCTAATGTTAATAACCGATTTCAGCATTGAGTAATGTGCCCAGAGAGTTGAGGCACAAACCGCTTTTGATTTATCATCGAAGTAGACTAACAGCGCATTTTCAGTAGGTTGTCTCACATTTTTTAAGCGGCACCACTTTTTAAAAGCATCGTACTGCTGCTCGTATAGTTTTCTAGATTTCGGTGGTAACAATTCTTCACCTACTTCGGCTGCTCTTTTATCAATATCAGATACACCTTCTTCACTCATGATACCAATAATTATCAATAACAATGTTTCTTTACAATGACACTAGTACCTAATGACAATGTTTCTAAATTATAACTGTCACAACGCAATGTTACTATGGTAACTTATTTTAAAGACAGTTTATTAAATGAGTTGAAGAGAGAAAAAACTGATTGAAATTATTGAAATAATTAATAAAATCATACCGGAAGTACGAAAAGTATCGTATATACCTTGCGACTGAAGTACATTTAATCCTTCAGGTAAATTATGGCCCTCCCTGCGGTCGGGCCATAAACTTTACCTTCAGGATTAAATGTACTACTTCAGTCCCGCGGTATATAATGTACTATTGTGTATTATTTCACAGTTAGTTACAGCGGCACCACGTGAGTTATTCCTTATGATGAAATCGCCTGATAACTTTTTTGACGAATTTTTTCAGTTATTTTCATTAGGAAATATAACATTAACATCATTTCTACGTGATACTGGTAGGCCTGTTTGGAATCGATGTTTCCATCAAGGAAAACTCAATTGAACAGTTCAAAGTCTTTGAAGGGGATTTCAAATATTATTCTTGTCAGTGAATGAATTATGGCGCGAGTTCATAGTCGATTCTTTTTCGATTGAAATGCCCTGTATATTTCCACATTCGGTCCTATCGCCATATTTTGGTCCGAACAGTCCACCCTTAGCTTATGTCACAATAGTTATGACTCACCCTGTATATGTATTCTTTATTTCTCTATTTATATGATGTGATGTGAAAATGAATTGATAGAACATTGGCTTTCAAGAAATCCAGTTTTCTTCAAAAGACCTGGAAGCCAAAAAAACAACACCACAATCATAATTCGAAAGGTCGTAAAATATGATTGAAAATTAACATAAACTATGATCAGCAACACGATAGTGGACACGGTGATGATAGAAGTTAAGATATAAATATTCTTTCATTGTTACTCATCTATTATATTAGTGGCCTCGAGAAAAATCGAATGATCCTGTAATGAGCTGATTATCTTATGGGGCGATTGACAAATCGTTATGCTTTCGATTTTTCGTCTGATAATGCTGATTGGTGTCTTCTGACATTCGAGATGATCATCGAGAGTATTATTTGTTTCAACAAATAATATCGTTTTGTGACACCCATATATTCATTATGGTGTCATCGATAATTTCAATAATTTTCAATAGTTTCTTCCTCTCTCTATCAACAACTTTTAATTAGCTTTACCTGTATGTATGTATGTAACCGACTTCTTTGGACTCGATCTTGACCCACCTCAGACGGACCAATTGATTTGAAATACAGAAGGTGTACATAATCCTGGTGGCAATGGATCATAAAATGTCTTTTAGAAAGAAAATGCTACAAAATGCGGAGAACTTTAATGAATATTATCATCCGATTTTATTCAAAATAGGTATCTGGATGTATTCGATGTCAGATATGATTCTTATGTCAGAATTTGTGAATTCAGGATGGCGAAAGAGTTTCATAAATATGATCCAAATCTATTCAAAATTTGTAACTGGAGTTTCTCCAGATGGAGATTCTGATTTGTTCGTCAAAATTCCAAAATTGAAGATGACGGATCCAATATGACGAGTATTGTAATCATGAATTGAATTTATTCAAAATTCGTATCTGGGGGTTTCCTGAATCGGAGATTATAATTTTTCTTAATCCAAGATGGCGGATTCAATATGGTGGGCGAGTTCTGTGATTTTGTTCCAAATCTATTCAAAATGTATATCTGAGATTTGAAAATTCAAGATGGTGGTAATTATGATCCGATTCCGTTCAAAATTGATTTTTGGAGGTTTTCGAAGTCAGATATCAGTATATTTTTTTGTCAAAATCGGTAAATTCGAGATGGCCGATAGAGCATGGCAATCGAGTTAAGTAATTAGGATCCGAATCTATTCAAAATCTGTATCTAGGGGTTTTCAGGATCGAAGATTATGATTCGTTTGTCAGAATTTGGAAATTCGAGATGGAGGGTCCAACATAGCAGACGAGTCTTGTTATGATGATCCGATTCTACTCGGGAGTTTTTTTTTATTCAAAGATAATGATTCTCTCAACGAAATTTAAAAAATCAATTTGAGGGAGAGGTTTTGTTTTCATGATTCGATTCAATTCTAAATAAGTATCTGGGCGTTTTTGGGGTAGGAAATTATGATTCTCTCGTCAGAATGAGGTACTTACAAAAAATATGAGAATACTTAAAAAACTGTAATTTGTAGTAGTTAGCCGAACAAAAAAATATGAAATGAAATGGTTGAGAAACTTGGGAAACATCCTTTCACAGATAGCCACACTGAAAAGAGAAAAATAATACACAACATAAAATGAACTGATTTTGGAGGTGCTAATATTTTTTAGGTTGTGTATTTATCAACAAACTTTCATCATTTTATTTTCCCTTTTTTTTTAGTTTGACTATTTATGGAAGGCTGTATCTTAAATTTTTCCATCTTCTATTTATTTTTCACTCACGAAGTTCTATTTCGATTGTCTGCAGGGTATTCTGATTTATTGAAATAAAATTTGTAATCTTGTTTCATTATTTCATTCAGATTCCCATGAAGCACAAATATTGAGAACTCCATGTCGGAATCACAGTCAAGTTCTCACAGCATGGGGTCATGATGAGAACAAGAATAGTCCGGTTCATCGAAATCAGTTTATTCAGGAAATACGCCATAGAACCTCAATTATAATCTTCCTGAACATTATGTAAGAAGCCGGACAGTGATCCTCTTCTTGATGCTTTTGTTCACCAAATACTGCGTTGTTCATCGAACATGCGATGAATTTTTGTCATAACCTATCCTTGTTATTCAATATTCATTCTGTTCTAGATAACGATAGTATTACATATTATCTCTGAGTATTCATCAAGAATATTATGTATTTTTTGTATGAAAACGATTGACTAATGGGTGATTTGAATGAAGAAGATTTCTGCTGTTCTGTGATAGACTCCATTACTGTATGTTCAGTATGAATACTATGAGTACATATCAAGTTTAACAATTGGTATAATCCGATCGCGAAGCGAGAGGAATATTATGTTGCAGTGACACGATTTGTGATTGTGCAGGAAGTTTGAGATGTATGACCTTAATTTATTGAAGTTCGAATCGTATTCGATGCGATCATTTTTTGAGTGGTTCCTAACGTCGAAATTCCATGACGGGCTTTGCTTGTATGTAGCATTATGAATTGGTTACTATGGAAATGGAAATGAT